CGCGCTCGATGGCCTTGGCGACGAGCTGTGGGTTGATGTCCTGGCGCTGCTCCGAGAGGGTGACGACCACCGCTGTGCCCCTGAGATGGCGGGCCGCGTCCTCGACAGCCTGGGAGCACACCGAAAAGGTGGCGCCGGCCGCCGGGCGGCGGGAGGGGTCCCCAGGGAGGTAGGCCATCGGCGCAGGCGGCAGGGCAGGGGGGCGCGCACGGACGGGAGGAGAGGGCGGTGGCGCGGCCTGAGGTGGCGGTGGGGTGTGGCTGGGTGCGGTGGGGTGGCGAGACGCAGGTGGTGGTGGTGGCGGGATGCGGCGAGGCGCTGTGGGAGGTTGAGGCGGAGGTGGAACGCAGGAGCTCCGGCTAGGGGCGGGCTTGCGGGCGGGGGAGCGGGCGGACCTGGAGCGGTGCCCCCAATGTCAGCAGGAAGAACAGCGCACGGGATCTCGGCAATCAATTGCACGGTGGCCGGGGTGAGACAGCGAAGACACTTGCCGCGAAAGCGCCTCAAATAGTCAGTGCGCCGTTGCTCGGCGAGCAGGAGCTCAGCTGGGAAGCGCGGGCGGCCATTACTTAGCCCGGCTGAAGATGGTACGGGCAGTGCACGCCGCCGTTTCCTCGAAGCGACCAGTTTCCAAGCAGAGGCCTCTGGGGCCCGCCCATCGCGCGAATCCCGCACCTCCGAGCGGGAGGAGGAGGGTGGAAGCGTGCCCTGCAGCACACTGAAGGAGGAGGTGGGCGGGATGTAGACTGTGGATGCGAGGCGAGGAGGGGGGGATGATGCACAGTGCAGAGCAGTAATGGTGGAGGAGGGCAGGATCGAGATCAGCGAGGGGAGGCGCCCAAAGTAGGCCGGCGCAGGGCATGAATGCCCGCTTGCCAAGCAGGGCGACTACCCACTGGCCTCGCTCGGACCGCCCACTTCAAGGTGACCGGAACCAGATCCAGCCAGATCCGACGTGCCTTGGGGAGCCTGGGGCGACCGCAGGTGCTGAAGGACTCGCAGCTGCGCAGCCGCGGAGTTCGAGGCGCCGGGGAGAGGCCAGCGTCAGGCAGGGGGTGAGGTGGTCGACGGGCTCGGAGTGAGTAGCGCCGATGTGGTGGTCGACACGACCGGGGAGGCGCATGGCGAGGGGCTGGTGGGGGAGCGAGAGCGGAGCGCGTCTTCCTCCATTCCGGAGCGTTGGAGCGCCACGGAACAAGCAAAAACATTTTGTTAACTGACTTTCAGGGTCACCAAACGTCCAAACATGATGCCCAAAGCCCCGAACTCATGCAGACAGCAGCTGACAAAGCATTCAGCCAAACCTGCCAAGGCCTAGTTCCATCAGCAACAGAGGCTGCACGTTCATGGGCTATTTACTACAGTACAAAAAGGCAAATCGTCAATGAATTTGGGAGCCACTAGTTAACAAGCGTTCCTTTGGAAGCCTTGCAACGATCAGCGCCATTTGCCACGTGTCACGCTCTAGGCGCTTCATCCAGATTTTATTTTTTTTATTTTTTCGTACGTGTTTTCGGCTATTTAAACGGTTTTTTTTCTTTTTTCGACGTTTTGGTTTTTCACCGGTCTTTCTTAGCTTTTCTAAAAAAAAAAATTGCGCAAAAAAGCGCTTTTCTTTTTTCCCTTTCGTGAGAGTAACATTTTGCTTTCGTGAGACTCACGGCCGTGCCTCTCGAAAACGAAAAAAAATGCATTTTCTGTTTTTCCCCCTTTCGCGAGAGTCACGGCTGTGCCTCTCGGAAACGAAAAAAACGCATTTTCTATTGCCTCTCGGAAACGAAAAAAAATGCGTTTTCTGTTTTTTCCCCTTTCGCGAGAGTCACGGTTTTGCTTCCACGAGAGTCACGGATGTGCCTCTTGAAAACGCAAAAAATGCATTTTCTATTATTTTTTCCTTTCACGAGAGTCACGGTTTTGCTTCCGCGAGAGGCACGGCTGTGATTTCGCGAGAGTCACGGCCGTGCCTCTCAGAAACAAAAAAACATGTTTTCTGTTTTTTCCCTTTCGCGAGAGTTACGGTTTTGCTTTCGCGAGAGGCACGAGTGTGCTTTCGCGAGAGTCACGGCCGTGGCTCCTCGGAAACGGAAAAACGCGTTCTCTCTTTTTTTTTTCCTTCCACGAGAGTCACGATTTTGCTTCCGCGAAAGGCACGTTTGTGATTTCGTGAGAGGCACGGGCATGCCTCTTTTGGAAAGGAAAAAAACCAGTTCTCCCGGTTCAGTTTTTTCGTCTGGGTTTTTCAGACGGTTTTTTTCATAAAAAAGTTCGCCAAAACCTATCAACATGGGATCTAGTTTTAAAAATCTCAACACGAGAATCCAACAATGAAAACCGTTTGAGATTTGGACGCACGGTTTAAGAGATAAAATGTTTCGAATAAACGGATCTACAAAAAAGGGAAAACTCCCAGGGTGCGACAAGTGACGCGCTGCATGTGCGCCACTTGTCGCAACCTAGGAATTGGAGTGATCTTTGCAACGAGTACTCCTCAACTAGTGCTTTCGACTGGATTTCAGTCTATTGAAACCTTTAATCTCATGATAAATGACTCCTTTTGGATCAGAACAAAGTCGGGCCTTGGATAGAAGGCCACGCACCAGGTTTTGACTGTCCTTATACTATTGTATTAAAATAAAACTAAAACAAAAGGGCCTTCTAAACAGGAATAAATTAGTTTTCTAAGGGAAAATGAACTAGTCGAATTGGTATTACCCTTTAAGAAAAAGGAAAATTGGTATTACCCTTTAAGTTTTCTAAGGGTGAATGAATTAGTGGCATAGGTATCACCCTTTGAGAAGGCTAGAAATGAAATAAAAACTAAAATAAAATCAAAATATAAAGTTTTCTAAGGGAAAATGAACTAGTCGAATTGGTATTACCCTTTAAGAAGAACAAAATGAAACACATTAAAAAAATGAACAAACTTGCACACAACATACAAAGATATTGCATTTTATGATATGCAAAAATAAGCTTATAGTAGTGAAATTTTCACAAAAAAGGAAGTTTCATAAGAAGGAATTAATTAGTGGAGTTGTTGCTATTCCTAAAGAAGAAGTAAATGAAATAAAATTAAATAAAAATAAAAAAACATGAAGTTTTCTAAGGGAGAATCAATTAGTGGCATTGGCATTACCCTTTAAGAAAAAGGAAAATGAAACCAATAAAAACACATAATGACAAAAATACACAGACAGTGCACTTTTTATAATATGCAAGAATAAGCATATAATAGTGGAATTTCGCAACGAAAACAGTTTTTTTAAGAAGGAATGAATTAGTGCCATTGTATTATCCTTAAAGAACAAAGAAAATGAAATAAAACTAAAACATAATCAAACTATAAGTTTTCTAAGGAAGAATGAATTAGTGGCATTAGTATTACCCTTTAAGAAGAAAGAAAATGAAAACAAAGCTAAGATAAATAATGAAAAATTTGCGGACAATTTACAGATAAATGGTCATTTACACACATATCATATAGTATTTGCGTGTATACATACGCACGGAAATAAAAAATGAAGTTATCTAAGAATGAATGAATTATTGGCGTTTCTATTATCTCTTAAGAAGAACATGATGATAATAATAATTAAAAAAATTGCACACATTTTATACAAAAATTGTGTTTTTTATAATACAAAAGAATGACCATATAATAGTGGAACGATATTGGTATTACCGTTAAAAAGGAAAATGAAAACAAAATGAAAATGAAAATGAAAACAAAATACTGAAGTTTTCTATGTAAGAATGAAACCATTTAAGAGGAAAGACAATATAAAAACTAAAGCAAAAACAAAATAATGAAGTTTTCTAGTGGAAATGAAACTCTTTAAGAAGAAAGGAAATTAAAAAATAACTTGCACACAAGTATGCCCTGAATTTGCACTTTTATTAATATGTAAAAATAAGTATATACAGTGCAATTTTTGCTCTCTACTATAATTTACACACATGGTGTATCAAACTTGCGTGTATACTTACTAAACATAATAGAGCAAATAAAGTTTTCTAAGAGAGAATAAATTAGTGGCATTGATATTACTCTTAAGAAGAAAGAAAATAAAGAAAAACTTATAGAAAATTTTACAGTGAAATTGCACTTTTTATAATATAATAAATTAACTTTAGCAGTCCAATATAATGTACACACATATTGTATAGTACTTTCGTGCATACAAACACATAATGATACAAAAATGCATTTAGTTAGCACAAACAATTACCATTGGTATTACCCTCAAAAGAATAACAAAAATAAAAAATGAAAATTTCACACAATTAGCACAAAAATGCACTTTTTATAATATGTTGAATAAATATATAAGAGTGAAGTTTCCATACTCTAATGTAATTTGTATATAGTACTTGCATGTATACATTTACACACACTCAACATCTGGAAATACATGTAAAAAACTAAACTGAAAAATAGAAAAATAAAAGCATACACGTGCAGAAAACAAAGCAAGCCCATGGAAAAAAGCATGCACACACCAAAATCCAGCCCAAGAAGAAAATCGACTGACCTAAAATAGGGGTTAGTCGAATCCAAACAGGCCAGTACGACCAACAAAACGTGACAGAAAAAAGAAAAACTACATAAATCTTAAAAACACAATCCAACGGCCAGAAAATTGACTGACCACAAAACTAAAAGTCAGCTACTGAAATCTAGTTAAAGACAGAAAAAAGAAAAACTACATAAATCTTATAAACACAATCCAACAGCCAGAAAATAGACTGACCACAAAACTAAAAGTCAGCTGACTGAAATCTAGTTAAAGCGATAGGTGATGCAGAGGTAATATACCCAGTTACAGCTTACAAATGCAAGAATATATCATTGCAGGTAGGTATTGTTGGCGATGAGCCGACGATATATAGATAGAGGAACATTAGAGTACAACAAACACATCATGAACCGCCCTGTTGCGGTGCTTTATTCAAGAAGAAGAAGAAAACACACAATGGCAGCGCACACTAAATTAAGAGACTTATTGTGACACTTGCTGACCGTAGAGTTTCTTCCTGATCTGCAACACAAGGCGAAGACGAGAAACATTTCAAATGCTGCATGACGATGAGGATTAAGGATGCATCACTGAAAGGTTTAGATACGTACCTCAGGAAGCTTTTGCCTGAAGCAAACATCCACCCTGGTGTCCAGCGTGTTGTCGCAGACGATCTTGCCGTCCTGCGACGCCAGCACCACGCCCCCAGAGCTGTATGTATGTCCGTGCATATCCAAGCTCAACAATCAGTTGAAGGTTCAATGGCGATCGATCAGCACTAATGGAGGAGACAGTGCAGCTATGCGATGTAATGCCTACAAGTATACAACAACATACCAGGCGGGTCCGTGGGCGGCGTCGTTGGCCCTCTGCGGCGGGAGGTGGACCTTGCCGTCGATGATGATCTTGGGGAGGTTCACCTTGAGCTTCTCGGCGTACTCCTTCTTGGCCGCCTCCAGCACCGGCTCCACGTGGACGCGGTCCGCCTCCCTGCACCGCAGCACCACCGACGACTCCCGCAGCCGGAGCAGGCTCTGCTCCGTCCGTCCGTCCATCCCTTCACTGGTCAGTCCCTCTGCACTGCATCTTCTTCAGAAGCAGCTGCTATATGCGACGGTTAACCGACTCACCTGCACGATGAGGCCCTTGAGGATCTTCCGGTAGACGTTGGTGTCCTTGGTGACGCGGACGAGCGTCTTGGACGCGTTCTCCTTCATCTCGCCCACGACGTCCTCCTGCGCCTGCAGCACCTTGATGCGCGCCGCGTTCAGCTCCATCGAGTACTCGCTGCATGCATGCACCATGCTAGTCAGGCCAGGCCAGCCGGCGCGGCTTCACGAGAGAACGAGACGAGATAGGCATGTCGACGACTCACATCTTCCTGCGGATGTCCACCTGCTTCTGCTTGCGCTCGTACTCCTGCCTGATCTTCCTCTTCTCCGACTCCACCAGCTGCAGCTTCTCTATGTTGAAATCCTGCAGCCAGCCAGGGATCAGATATTCAGATTGATTCATCCTCGACCTTTTAAAGTTGAATGAACAGATTAATGCAGAGGATCGATCGGTCGACACGGTGATAGATAGAGTACAGACCTCCTCTGCGGCGACGGAGATCTCGCTGGCTTTCTCCTGGGCCTCCTGCTGGATGAACCGGACCATCTGCTGGATCTGCTTCCCGACGTCCACATCGTTCATCTTGGATCGATGATCACTTGGTCGACGACGTAACTGCCTGCGTGCCTACTTCCTTTTGGGGATCTCTGTCTGATCTACCTGGCAAACGGATCAAACGAGCTTGTCTGTCCCCGAGGGTTGGGAAATGGATTTGGGTGCTCGATCTTCGCTTTTCCTTGGATTGGGTGGAGAGACACCAAGGCAGAGACGGGGAGCGGAAGATGACCAACGCAGAGTTCGGATCTCATGCATGGGGGGACGGGGGGGAGAGAGGAGAGAACCGGTCCTCCCTCCCTGCATTCCGCGCCAAATTTAGCTCTCTCCCCTCCCCTCCGAGTACTGAGTACTGACCATGCATGCATGCGGCATTGCACTGTAGCCCCTCCCTCGCATCTTTATTTAGAAAAAAAACACAAAAACATCCTTTTTGCTAGTGAAAAACATAAACATCCTGTAGTGCCCACATTCGGAGGCCCATTAAAGAAAGCCCAAGCCTCAACTTTAGCAGGCCCGCTGCCCTTACTCCTGATTCAAAAAGAATTACTCAAGCCAGCCCGGTTCGTGCTGTTCGTTGCAACCCAGCTTGTGTGTATATAATCGAAAAATGCTTCCGTGTTCTTCTCCAAAAAAAAAGAAGAAAAAAAATCTTGTGTATATAATCTATTATTGCTAACAAAAGCGAGTTCATTCTCGGCTTTAAACTACTGCCAGTCTTCTAGATCTGATACAACTGTTATATCGGCCGATAGGTTGGCACTGGAGTTTACTGATACATATATAACACACTCCAAACTATCAGTAAATATCATTATGTAGAAGTTATCTTCACACTCGTCTGCTGATATATCGAAAGCTATGACCTTTTTTTTATCTGATATGTCCACGATATAGACCAATATTTTATCGATGTCAAAGTAAGATTTGTCCAAACTCAAACTCAGTAAACTTAAAAATTTATACAAGAATGCAAACATTTACAACATCAAACATATACCATAAGAAAACTATATTTCATGATGAATCTAATGGTACTCATTTGATATTGTAGAAGTTGATAATTTTTCTGTAAACTTGTTTGAAGTTTACAAAGTTTGACTAAAGATTAAACTAATATGAATTTCATTTCGTCATTGAGCGAGTATGTAGATGAGGATAAATCTTTCTAGAAAAGGTTGGAAATAAGATTATGTATTTGCAACTGCATCAAATTCATGCATAACAATTTTTAGATATGCATATGTAATGTACCTCTTTTTATCTTGGGAAATATTCTATGAGTTTTTCCTAGTTTATTCTTAATAAATTTTAATCTTATTATTTTATGCTCAGACACTATCATCTTACATATTTTGTACCACGGTGACATTTTTTGAGCAAGAAACCAAACCGATGTGAACTTGATATTCGATATTTTTAAAATTGACTACTGAAATAGTCTAAGTTTAGACCCTAATGTTCAATACAGTGGCAACATGGCTACCATAAATTTTCAAAACAAAAAAAGGAAAATGAAAAAAAAATCAACATTCATTTAGGAAAGTCAAATAATTTAAAAATTAGAAAAATAAGAATAAAGTTCAAATAAACTATAAAAGCATATCTATATACACATAGATATTTAGATAAGATAAACATATAGATAAGTTATACCCGGCGCACTATTTCTAACCAGGTTTCTTTTTTGATGTTTTTTGAGTTTTTTTCACGTCTTTAATCAAGCAATCACGCGCTGACAGGTGCATTACCTTGGGATATGGCCGGGTAGAATCTTGGATTCATCTTGCATTTTTTATGACGAAGCAGTTCCCGGTCAACAATGCATCATATCAATGTTGTGGTGCCATGCATTTTTTTTGTCTTCCCGTGCATGCGGCGGTTTCTAGATTTCTCTCTATTCTTTTTTTCTCTCCCTCTAGAAAGATCTCAACCGAGGTACGTACGTATAAAAAGCCTCATCACGTGAGTCTCTCCAATGAGTAATGGTACACTTATATAAATAAAGTTATGTTGTTTACATGAAGGGCAACGTAGATAATTAGGATTGGAGAAGGGAGGAGGGGCCCCACCCACCTAAAAATCAGGG